TATTTCCACATTGTAGTTATTTGATTTCCCTGGCCGCCAGCTGAGAAAAAGGAAAAAAAATGAAGTAAAATTGGTAGAGGCAAACCTTTCACACCTGTTTAAACTAGTGAAAAACATAAGCAATCTGACTCATACTTAGGTAGCAACATAGCTTTAAGCAATCAGCGGCATTTAGAGGCAGCACAGCCACATCATCTTTCAGTTGAATAAATTACTTCATCTTCTAATAAGCACTGAAATCATGGGAGTAATTTTTTTTCATCAGTTACTCCATTTTTCTTATAAACACAAAGTTCTAGACAGTATACAATACTCAGTACCTTTCTAGGGTACTACTAAATGCTTTGCCACTTACTTTGAACGGTATAATATATTGCATCATCGTCAGTGACAAAATACAGGTATGTTTCTATTTAAAGTAGCTGATTGCATAAATCCCCACGATCAAGTTGGGATCAAAATGTTCTAAAATCAAGCAAATCTAATTGAAAGGCCAGGCTCCTAACCAGTATTGGCAGTTTGATTATTCAGTGATAAGAAATAGCTCTGATACAATGTATGAACTTGGTAATTGGTAAAATGGTAAAAACTTATCAAATTTTTTTCTTCTAATTTTAACCTCACATTTTGATATCCATCCATGAATTTTGGAATTATCAGGTATTCTTCAGTGCTAACCTGTATTCTTGTACCTTACATGGTATATATTTAATGTAGTAATTATCACACCTGAGTGGCCATATGTATATGAAGATCCAGGTGTGTCATCACAGGTATTACCTGGAGTGTTGATACACTTAAGGTCCGGATCATCTACCATCATTCATTAATATTCATGCCTGTTCATCTGTGTTTAATTTACCGTGAGGGCTTTATGTCTGCATCCCTCATCTGTGGGCTCATTTCCAATGAAATTATCATTCAACATAGATCGATCCAACTTCATGTGGACTATCCCTGAATGCAACCAGATTAACACGCTTCTGGTGATTATACAAGAGGGTTCAAAACCAGATGCAGCATGTTGATCTGACTGCATTCAGCAAAAAATCTCTGCAGAGTTGGATCGATCCACATGACACTTTTACTGGAAATGAGCCCTGTGCCACATTTATACATGATACACTACTTGTAGAGCATTAATGCTGTTGACTGATTATTTTCTTATTGATTCATAATTTTAAGACTCTCATGGCGATTGACCATTGACTGACCATTGGGCAGTTCTTCATGTAACTATAGAGTTGCAGTGCTGTTGATACCCAAAAGAAGTGTTATTAATTTACGATTCCATCAGGAAGGGATCAGTTGAAAGGCATCAATAATTCAGGCTGTGATGTAAGACGGGGAAGAAAAACTTGCAGCCTATATTTCAAGAAGAAATGCTATTCTAAAAAGCTTTGGCACATGCAGATGGTATCGTTTGTTCTTGTTAAGCAAGTTTTGAGCTTTGAGTTGTGATCCTATATCTGAAGTCAAAAGATAATGTATTTATACTGTAACAGGTGATGCCAGACATTAGTATGAACCAAGATTGGATTTTGTGCAATATTGGAGTCAAATGATCAAATGATGTACAGGGATATGCCAGAGTTTAATCAGTTACATGTAACATGCAGTTAGGAATCAAGTTTTATTAAAATCAACTACAATAATAGATGCATTACAGAGAAGAGAGAACATAACCAGAGAATAAAAAAAAATGAAAAAAAAAAAATGCAGAAATGCTCAGCCCATTACTTCCAATTTATGAAGGGAGAACAGGCGAAAAGTACATAAAACAATGTACTACCATGTAAAATATTCCCAGGAAATAATTCAGCAACCATCTGGGCATCTGGGAAGATTGTATTGGGATTTGCAACCATGCTTTGGAAAGCAGCAGGGTTGTTGGCATTGATTCGAACAAGACTCGAGGTCCTTATGTTGGAAGTTAGCATCCCAGCAAATGGTTATGCCAGATTGGAAGGAGTTTTTTTTTTTTATCTCAGTACACGGCCTTTCTTTTTATCCAAGTGCATCTATAGTAAACAGGTGTGAGGCAGACTTCTTGGCCATTCAATGCAAACAGTCTATTCTGGTCTGAAACAGTTGTATACTCTGCCGGAAAACATAGATGTTGGATACCACTACCACAACTAGGGAACCCCGCTGGAACCCAGCAGGAGGAGTAACTTACAGGCATTAAGATCAGAAGACTGATTTTTTGACTGCCCATGGTTTTATGGCAGCTGCCATTCCGTGACGAGTTGACTTTTCCAGTGAACCAAGATTTTATGACATTGCAAAACTAATCTAGATTTGCAAATGGTGGAGATTCATGCATTCAAGGCAGTACATTTTCAAAAAAAAAGTTTCATTATGAATCAGTTTTCTCTTTGAAATAGAATATTTTCTGAAGTTTTTAAAGTCAGGCAACCAGATAATTTTTTTCTGACTTAAGATAACAGTATTTCAGGTGGAGCTAAATAAAATGAAAAGGATTAGGTTATTGGCACAATAAAGTTGACATCGTACATGGACAGTGAACGAAAATCCAGAAGATATCAACAAACAATTGAAAACATTTGGACGTACTGTACATGGCCAAATATGTAACAAGCTGTTTGGTGAAAAGATGTGCTTTTATCAGAAATATGTGGTGTATGTGACAGACCAGACATCTTATCAGTCTAATATAGCGCTGGACTCATTCCTGGAACAAGACCTAGCTGTGACTTACATAAGGATCTGTGGGCCTTTTCGTCATTCCAGGATTATTCTTAATACACATGTTAAGTAATACTTTTCTTGATGGTTTATCCTGCAGTGATAAGTAGTGTGGTACTATCTTAAGAGTGTTCTAGAAGCCAGGAAACAGTTGTGAGCAATGGGAAGTAAGTAAAAGTTTAAAGAAAAAACTGCATGTGTACAATAACTCCAGCCAGACTAAGTGCTTTATTGGGAACTTATGAAAGCATAGCATTCATTGGCAAATATATGTATAATGAAAACAGACAAACAAACCCAGCAGTGTTGGATATTTGATGAAAATGAAGAAGGGAAAAAGGACTTTGTAGAACAGTTTGCTGCTTTATCGGGAATTGGCCAAAGTATGCAAAAACAAACAGACATATGACCAGTGTTATCAAATGCATTAAAACCAATACAAGCACCTGTGAACACACAGTGGTGGATTTCTGTATCTTCACAACATGGAACCAGCTGTAGGGAAGGTCATGACTTCAGATTTTGAAAAAAACAAAACAAATTGAGTAAGATGCCAATGACTACCATGAGGTGTGGGACGTGTGAGAGGGAATTTATGTTTGACTTGCTTTAGCTTTCTCTCTCAATGAGTCAGCGGAGACCAGCTCAGTAACAGCAGATATCAAAGCTTATCGTGTGATTAGAGGTCTTAACCAGTTTGGCCAGTTTGAAGCAGCAGAACAAGCAGAGCATCTTCCCTTTTAGAAAGCTGAGGACTCTTAACTTCTACTACTTACTCCATTGGATTTATTGCCCTGCGACTGTTGTGGGATCTTGGTGGAACAGTAATGCAATTGTTACTCAGATATCAGGATCCAGACTACTAGTCCATTTATTTAGAATATTGAGAGAGTAGCTGTAACTTAGGCAGTATGGTGGGAGTTAAGACCTGTATACTCCACGAACAGGATATATAAAACAGCATCAACTTTATAGGATTTTTGCACTTTTATCAAGATATTAAAGCTTGGAAATTCAAAGAGACAGTGTCTCAGAGAGGCCAATTACTGTGTGGATATCCATTTGGAAGGTTGGTGTCCCCATTGGCTATCCTACCACATACCAGTACAGTGAAGGAAACAGCCAGGATCCTGCCAGCTGTGATTTCTAGGATATTCATAGTTTTTGTGCAATGATTTCATGCCTGGCTATAACTCAGTCAACTTGAAACAGAAAGGATTGTGTGCCTCAAAATATTGTTATTAATTAAGTACAATAATTGATTATCAGGTGAACCAGAGCTGTACCTTAATGTATCAGCCATGCTGAACAAGCCGCAGAAGAGGATATTTTTTTCTTTCGAGTTCATTTGTCTGTGACAAGTTATAGGCACTTTATGTAATATCATAATGGAAGACTAACACATGGTGACCATAAGTAGTGATCATGGAATGGCTTGTGAAGACAAGATACTGACCATATCATTTACACTGCCTTTCTGTTCCAGATGGATTTTCTTCCTGGTGGTCTTCATTTTATTTAAAAAAAGCAGTGCTTTGTATTTCAGTTCAACCTGTACATAGCAATATTACACCAGATGAAACATACCAACAAGGAAAATTCAATGGATATTTTACCAAAACTATGACAGCAAAACAAGAAAAATACAGCACAAACAGAGACAGTATGATACAAGTATGATAAAAAAGCTTTGAAAATTAATTCTGGAGGATTTCTATGTATTGGCTAGAATCATTCAGTAGTTAACATTTGTCTAGTGAAGAAAAAGTGAACTTTTTTCATCACCAGGAAAGCTACCATCCTCTTGCAATAAAAGATAGAAGTTCCAGAAATCTCAACTTCATATTTTCCATGAAAATAATTTTACAAATTTATCGCAATTCATGCAGTGATTTTTCTTAAAATGTTCTCTCATCCGAGTTAAAATATCAAGAAAAATCAAATAGTAACATATGTTGGTGTATTTTGTTTTACCCATATATGTAGCAAAAAATGGGTTCTTATGCTGACAGACACCGTTTCACAACAACTGTTTGACTTTTAGCATGACATATTCATGTAAACATATGTATTTGGTTCAAGCCAGCAATTCATTTGAATGCAAACATTGGAAGCACTGCTGGTTCTCAAATAACAGGAACATGGACATGATGTCCATTTTTTTCCCAACTTTCTGAAGTGAATAACAGTGTTACAGTGAACTACACACATGAACATTCAATTTCTTCATCTCTTTTGAAGCCATTTTAACTGAGGACTTGACTACAAGAAGTATTCAGAAGCACGGACATATTCAGTTGACTTGATCTAATGCATTCCAAATTCAAGTTGGTGATAACACTCTATTTAATCATCGTCCGGTTAGTGCCCCTCAATGTAGGTAAGTACATCGTGGCTATCTTGTCCCTATCTAGACTACAGGAAATTAGAGGCAGATGCCAGAACTGCTCAAGTCACTTAGCTGATAGCCATTTGCTTGAATTGTATGGAAGGTGGTAAGAATAGAAATTACTTTAAGTATTCACATGGCTCATTTTTCCAATAAAATCTTAGTTTTTTTAAGGTTTTTCAGGCTTAAGTTACACACAAAAATGATCTTTTTGACATAAAGTCATCCAGAAACAACATTGTTTTAGAGAACTTACTGTCAAATTGAATTTGTTTTATTCAAATTTGATAGGTGATTTGTAGAAAGTAAAAATTATATTTATTGATGGCAGTCTGAACTTATTTGATGATTTCTTACATGTGGCAAATGGATTATTTATTTGTTGTTTTCATTTATTTTTATTTGACAGTCTAAAAAGCACACGTCCAGTTACTAGCATACGCATAAATTGTGGAATTTTCAGCCTGCACTTTAATTGTTACAAACTTCTTCAGGTATTTAATCTAAATTCTCAGTTCACTTCACAGAATGCAACAAGGTTTGTTATTATGCATATGTTCTGTAGAATTATATGACAAAATACTAGCAACAGGTATTCAAAGTTAAAAAATTTGCCCATCAGTGTATTTGGCAACAAACCAAAATTCTGTCTAGATATTTATTCTTAGTCATGATGCAAGAAGCATAGCATTGAAAAGAAAACTCAAACGGTTTGTTGTATCTAATTTAAAAGAGAGGATTTTAAAAATCTCAGCTGGGTTACTTCAATTTTTCAATCAGTATCACTTAAAATGTAATGTGCGTAGCATGTGCTGTATGATAAAAAGTAAATTTCCATGCAAGCTTTTTCATATTGGCAGTTTAAATCAGTTTTTTTTAAATTTAAGCTAAAATTAAAACACATTATTAATATATTAATGAAATAATATTAAGCAAGTAACTATGTCAAATTAATGCTGCAGAACTCAACAAAATGCCACCATTTAGTTTCAAATAGGTTACCTAAATGAAATACCAGTTTCATTACATCATTTTCCAAAAAACAATTTTTGCACAGATACTCTTGGATTTCTATCTGTGCTTTATATGCTGGAGAGAACATAAGAATCTCAAATTTACAACAAGAATTTAAACAAATCAGGATAGAAATATAAATGAAAAAAAATGGTACTTCACTTTTCTTTTTTTTTTTTTTTTTTGCTAATATCCCGTCTTTATATGAATATATCTATTGTATTCATATTACTGGCCAGCTATTATCTGACATCCTGACAATTGTGGTCTATTTACATGAGGGCTATTAATATTAATAGATATATAGCCACCTACTTGTAGCTGCTCTGAAACTAGATTTCTTCAGCAAGTATTCTCATTCATTACCCACTCATCTTTCTATTTTTTTGACTATTTATTATTATTATTATTATTATTATTATTATTATTATTATTATTATTATTACTGGTAGTATACTGTCCCTCACATCTGTGGTGATCATGTACCAATTGCAAGTGCCTGCTATGTTTTCTTGATGCATATTATTATTATTATTATTATTATTATTATTATTATTATTATTTTTATATCTTCAGCTGATGATATACTAACAGCATCCAGGTTTCCTGCCCCCCACATTGGTGACTATGTACCCAGTGCCTGTTGGAACTTCACCTACGGCAACCAGCAAGGTTTACAAGAGTTCTACAGCCCAAACTTCCCCAATAACTACGACAATGGCACCACATGTACACAAGTTTTAGCAGGTAATACTTACAGTTTGCTTCAAAAATTTCTTTTTTTCCTTCTAGATATTTAGTTTATAATATTTCCAGCTTCATAAAATCAAATATGGAAATGGCCAGTGAAAAAGAGTTACACATTTATAAAAGAGTTATACCATGCTACAGAACACATTTCAAAAAGTAAAAGTAAAGTTTGGTTCTCACACATTGCACTCCATTTACAACAGATAAACACTATATCTGGCACATTTTGTGCTGTAATTGAGCCTGGGTGTAGATGATCTCAACTCCCCAGGGAGGGCACTGGCAATACAGCTAATTGTTTTGTGATCATTAGGAAAACAGACAACCACATATTAGATCAATGTCAGATCTGAGTCACCCTATGAATGGAACAATTAAATCTATTATGTCTGTGTTAGCTAAGTGACATAGCAGTCACATCATTGACCAGGTCTGGTATTTATTGCCTTTCTCTCTAATCACCTGATTCACTTAAATGTATCCGTTAATTCACGAATGGCTGCTCAAAGGATATTCACTGCCAGCTAGGAACCCTGAGTTTTAAGGGCCACAGCAATAGTCCGAAGGTAAGGTTGATTAAAAAAACAATGAAAATGTTACCATTTTTTTGCCAAATGAACCTTCATACTATCGAGATGCCCCTGAGTTTTAGGCAGTCAGTTTGCTCAGTCTACTCATTTACTGGCCTGTAGGCAGGGGGTTTTGGGTTTTTAATGAACCTAGACTTTCTTTTGGCTTGAAGAGCTCCATCCTAAATTTAAAAAAAACTGGGGAAAAACATAAAATATCTGTTCAAATGTCATTTTTTTGGGGAAATATGAAACAATACCCTGTGGCATTTGTTTAAGTTATATATGCTGTTTGAAACTATACAATGTCATTTGGTCGGGTTTCTTGGCAAAGATTTGACATGTCAGCTCAGTTCAAATGCACTTTTAGTGGCTGAAATGGAAGGAGCATGTTCTTGCAAAGCAAACTTAATAAAACAACTCTGCATCATCCTGTTCCTAGATGTCATCAATCAAGACATTCTGATTCTTCACAGCATGGCAGGACACTCAGCACTTTGAGAACTCTAAAACATTTTCAACAGTCTAACTCTTGGAAGTAGATAATTGAATTACCAGCTGTAATTGGTAATTATACGACATGCTAAGGAAATTCAAGTAATTCCTTTATTAGCCTGGTATCCAACCAACCACTTGTTGTAAAAATAAGGTAAATTGGCATCCAGGGTTTCAATGGTCATTGGAAACTTGTGGTAACATCTCATTCTTTTCAATGGGGGAAATTGTGCATGTTACAAATACTATATTTTTCAAGTCAAAATTTCTCACAATAAGAACATTCCTACTACCATTATATGCAGTAATAGCAACACAAATGCCACAAAAAATATAATTTTTGTGATTATAATAAAACTATATGTATCTGACAGTTTGGCCATTGAAAAGACCAAGTAATTACCATACCAGTCAATTATCAAAATGGCTCTGCCCTTTCCATAGCTGTCGATCCTTTATCCAGTGACCCCTGAACCACAGGGTGCTAACTTGAGAATTTCATGTAAATAGCTGCATAGCAGGTGGGTGCAATGTTCCAGCTACTGCCCAAAGTTATTTTTAAAAATGTTACCTAACAAGGTGCTTAATAAACATCCCTAATGACTCCTTTAATTTTCAGTTTTTTTATGAATATCACCAATATGTAACAGATTCCATTATATATTTCATTTCATTTAAGCTCTTGATTAAGGATGACTGTGCCTTAAATTCAAACATAATCAATTAATCAAATATCCCTTCCTTACATAATATGCTATTGTATCTATGAAAATATTTGAAAGAAACTGCACGGTACATAAATCCACATTTGTTTCTTATTGGCAAAGGGTCTTAAAGGATTACTAAAAATACCATATCTTGAAATTTCAAAGTAAAATAATATGGAACGAGTGAGGTGTTAAACTTTTTAAATAATTACCATTGGTGCCTTTAAAGAAAATTCTGATCATCTCCTGAAGACCCAATTGACTCTTTATATCCACCCTTGAGAAACAGATATCTTCAGGTTTGTTCTTCCAGGCTGTTAAGAATGCACTAAAAGATACACAAATGTTGTCAGGTCATAAGTGTGGATGAAAGAAAAACAGTACACATCAACTGCAAATGAATCGGGTTTGACATTTTCTGATACCTTATCTCAGGTTCATGTCCTCTGAGAGATTCATTCTGAATAGGATGCATCTTAAACAGAAAGTAATGATCTCAAGAGCAAGAGAAGATCATCTTGGAAAAAAGCCCAGCAATGACATACGGGATAGCCAAAATATAAGCTTTTAGTTATTTTAAATATTTTCATTATAAAATTTTCCTATAAGAAAACCCTCAATTTCGTGACATTTTAAATATGTTGTATTTATGTATGTCATAAAATTCTTCATACTTACTATAAAACTTTAAAAAACACACACAGAGTCGGCAAAATGACCTTTATTTCCCATAATCTAGAACACTATAAGGAGAACAGACAAATTAAATAGTAATTAATTGGACCATAAAAAATTCAGCTATTTCTGCAACAGAAAATGAAATATCCCACCACTTGCGACTGAGTTAAGATAATGAAAAGTCCCGAATATGAAAAGGGAAGGGTAGCAGGAGAGCAGAGCAGAATAGGCTTTTAACTAACAAAGTTGGTGTACTAACGCAAAATATTACGCATGTTACAGCTTGCTGCGCTAAACAAAGACTGCCCCAGGAGTGAAAATTTAATAGGCATATGAAACAAAGCTGAGTGACCATTGGCCACACTACTGGATGTTTTTCACGTGGCCTAGTTACTAAGAGCTGATAGGACAAAAATTGTTTTGCACATGACTAGTAACTACCCTGGGAAACAAAGGCCAGCTGCAGGCAACCTTCCCTGTGTGTGCTTTTAAATACTCCTTATTCTAAAGGGGCACGTTATATTGCTTAAATTTTGAAAAAATTCTACAACTTGCATAAAATTAAAATGGGCTGCCAGAAGCCCATTTTAAAGGCAGTTTTGCCTAAGGTTTCTTTAGCTGAATCACCACTAATGGTAAATCTAGATATTTTAAGGTCCAGTATCTGTAATCTGCCTGGTTTTTGCACAATCACTTTCTGAAGAAAATATGCCATAATTCAATAATGTTTTGCACATGTGCATCAATTGACCTTCTCTGCTCTTTGCACACAAAATAAGTGACAGAGCTAGAAAGTTCAGAGAAGAAAAATATTTAGATTTGTTATGATATCCAGGTATACCACTGGATTGGAATCATGATTTCTTGTAACATCTCATGACTTTTCATCGTGCTTGGGTATGTTCCAGCTTTGTCTGCCAGCCTGTTGACTTTTTTTTTCTAAATTTGTGAAACATGTATTTATTTTTATATTTATATTGTACATATTCAAAATTTAATATTTCTGAAATTAGTTTCCAAAAGAAGCAACAAAAGTAACTTAAAAAATTGTCAATACCTAATATGATATTGTAATTTTGTTGTTTGGGATTATTGACATGTAATAATAATATCTTATTATCTCGCATATTATTATTATTATTACCAAACTTGCAACCCGAGGGTTGGATAATTAAATGTCTGTATGCTATTTAAATTATGAAAGTGTTGGTTTGACAACCCAAAGTTTTAGGAGTTGAATACAAAACTCCAGGATCCATTAATTATTGATGTCACTTTTTAAAAAACTTAAAAGTTGAAAGATTTTTTAGAAAAAAAATGCAGATAAAGCAGGATGAACAGAACATTTTATACAACGGACTCCAGAGAAGCAAGATGTAACAATTATAAATATAATAACACTACTCAGAAGAGTTTGTCTATGGAAGCCTCTGAAGCAGAGGACACAAACAAGAAATGATATGAATGGAAATGTTGTACAGAAGTGCAGGGACAAGGTTTCTTCCAAATACAAAAAAAAAAAAAAAAAAAAAAATATATATATATATATATATATATATATATATATATATATATATATATATATATATATATTCAAATTTGCTCAAGAAATGATGACTAACGTTTTTTTCTGCTTCTCTCAGCTGTTCCAGTAATTGTTGTTTGACCAATCCCCATGCACCCCTCAGTTAAAGAGGACCACCATACCCCAGGGAGTAACACCCAATGTAGGGAGATGCTCCATCAGTTGCCATAGTTGCCATCTGCAACTTGCTTTATCACATCAAAATCAACATATGAATTAGACCCCCTCTCCCTCTTTTTCTCTCTCTCCCCAGACCATTCCATACTTCATATTCCATCTACAGGCTACTGTAAATTCAGTGTTTCAATTATCAATATATTTTAATGGTACACTATATATGGAGGCTAAGCATCACTACACCCCTATCCAATTAAAAATAACCCTTTTAATGCATATAATGTCTATCACCTGTCAGTATTGCTCATTTGATGCTTGTATTATACAAAATACTTGTATCCTGTTGATGATTCAAGTGGTGACTGGGGCCCAAAAGGTTGTTGCAGAAGAAATGTAGAAGCGAATTTAGATAGCTCAATCTACAGAATTATGTATAACTGTTTAATCATATTTTATTTCACTCACTGACAGTTGTACTTCATAACAATTCAATTGATTGACTTTCTGTATAATAATAAGAAGATCAATAAAAACAAATAATGCAATAACAACCTTACTGTAAGTATTATTAAATAATGAATGCTTTATTATAAATGAACGAATAAACAATATATTGACTGATTCTTGACAACATGTAGTCATTTTTTTTCTTTTTTCAGCCCCACCAGGCTTTGTCATCAAACTTGAATTTCAATTTTTTAAAATTGAGCCATCATACGACTGTGAATACGATTACCTTGAGATCCATGATGGACCGTATGGGTACTCTCCTCTCATTGGACGATTTTGTGGTGCCAAGCCTCCGCCATTGATTAAGTCCACATCCCAGTTTATGTGGATCCATTTTGAGACAGATGGTACCATCGAGTACAAGGGATTTCAGGCTGTGTATGAATTTGTAAACCAGCCAAACACAGGTACCAGATGTCCTTGTTGCCTAATGATTTTTTTCTCCTTTCAAATTTTACAACTTTTGTACAGATTGATCATTAAATTTTGCGATTATACTTACATTATATTTTTTTCAAACAAAAAGGTTGCCTGTTAGAAAAACATCACCAACAGATCTCAATATCATTTCAAACAAATATATATATATATATATTATATTCTTATGTTCCACGGAGAACTGCATTGTTTACTTTCTTTAAATTCTCTTTAAAAAGGATGTGTGATGATTTCATTTCATTGTTTTGTTCTTTCAACTTAATAAAGTTAAGATCATTTAAATAGCCTTTAAGTTAGTAATACTTGGAGAACTCAAGAAAACTCTCTTAGACATTTAAACATATCAAAATTTCTGCTTTTATTTACCTTACAGCACCAAGACTAGATGCAGGCCATGTAGCATGTAAGTGTGATTTTATCTTTGTTTTTGAACACTAAATGAACCTAAATTATATATAAAAGTCCTTCTGCCATAAAAACTGAGAACAAGTAAAATATTAATATACATTGTCCATGTATACACAGTACTGTGTATATATACAGGTGTGTATGCAACAAATTCTCCACCTTCATTTTATTTCTTCAAATTAATCAGTTAATTTATTCAAGTAATGGTTTGCTTTATACTTGATTGCCATATCACTCAACTGATCAATCAATTCAAATATTCCGAATCCAAGTGAAGTACTAGCAGAATTAATGGAAACAAAAAGCCATGGATCTCGATTTTTTTTCTCTGACAGTCAGCAGGTTTGACATAATGAATCTAAATCTGCAATCTGCTGTGTGTGTGTGTTTGTGTGTATGTCTGCACATGCATATGTGTGTGTGTGTGTGTGTGTGTGTGTGCGTGCGGGTGTGGTTAAATGGACTTGGCAAAGGTCTGGATCTTTTTGTCTGTTATACAGGTATATGATGGTGGTTATACACCTATTCAATTCTTTGTCATTAAACATGACCAGTAGACCTCCAGATGGTCAATATGATACAGGTTTATGTTAGGTCTTTATTAGGCAGTCTGAAACACTAGTGAATAAACAATATGACACTATATTTTCATATTGGAATTTCAGTCTGTCGTCTGCCAGTTGCTACAGATTTCTACCAAGATGGTAACCTGACCATAAAGGACCTTCCCCCAGGGCTGGTGGTGAATGCCTGGAATGGCACTGAAGACATGGACTGCACATGGGAAATATTTGTCAGACCAGGACAGAGAGTAAGATAGAGTCTGGATCCAAAAATTCCTGGGAAGGGGCATTTTTTCCATCCCAGCCCTTCCGTCACCCTTAATTATAATAAGTAAAATCCCTGCATGTATCCTCAAAATTGATCCACTGACAGAAATAGAAAGAAATAAAGGAAAAGGAAAACAACATACCTACAAACAAAGGGACACTTTTTTTATAACTTGGACTCAATATACTATAAAAATATACAGGAACATGACATAAAAATAAGAACAGTTTTTTCTTCATGTAGGTCTTCGAAAGATTAAAGCTGTTTAGCAAATGATTATATCAGAATCATGTCTAAATGATCACTTAATTGGTAAAAAAATGTGTTTGTTTCTTTAAGGTCCATCTGAAAGTTAGTTCTTTTGAAATGAAGAACCCTCTGGAATGTTCACTGAATTTTCTGGAAATATATGATAGGACGACAAGCAACCATCACAGGGAACGTCAGTTCTGCACTCCATCTTCAGGAGAGTACAAATCTGGAAGTAACAGAGTGTACTTACGTTTCCACTTACACAGGAACATCATAAGTGAATTTAAAGTGGATTATACTATATTTGAATACGGTAAGTTAATAAGAGGTGGGAATGTCTTCCCACAGTCTGCAAATCTTTTCAAAGGGCATGAAAGAGACAATCCATATTACAAGTATTTTTTGTTAAAAATGGAAATGTAAGTAAATAAAGTCTCCTGAGGCCATTCTTTCTAGATGTATTCCAATACCTCACATTTCCTCCTAATAAAAAAGACATTTTAGCAGAACCGTTTCAGTCTAAGAGTCATTGATTTTGTTTAAAATTTCTATGAATAGATTTAAAGCGAAAGATTGTGATTTTATTGAAGAATAATTCAATCAAGCTCAGTTGTAGCCAATTTATCACAAAAGCAATCAGCAAAAATTCAATTTTACAAGTATGAGTCATACAGTTGCTGTTCTTTGTGGTAGTTGAGACTGAAACACAATGTCTTTTCTTCACAGCACTTATACAGTAACTTCAATAGAAGTAATTTTTTCTTTGAAAAGTTAAATGGATAACAACTGTTCATTTTGGCTAAAATAAAGATTTTACTAGGAAAAATGGCACTTTTCTCATACTTGTCAGTGGCTAATGAATATGTTACAACATTCAAAGTTAGTTGTTGTTTTTTTTTTCTTTTTTTGTTAAAATTTTTTAAGAGAAGATTGTAGGTATAGCTATCTATTAAGGTCACATGGTCAGATGGCAAGCACAGATTCCAAAATAATTCAATAACCACAGTTTTGGTGGTAAAATGGAATTTATTATATTTCTTTGAGTTGCTAAAATGTATTTATTGTGAAATATGTATCTCACACGAATAGTTGGTAGCCCTTTAGTTGTGAGTTAATTTCAGATGTTTTAACATTAAAAAAGTTTTTTTTAGTATACAATATTAACACTTCACAGAACGACATATCTTTGAAACAATTGGTGTTTAAAATTTGCAAGCAATTATATGTATTACAATGTGTTCCATGATTCCCAATTTCTCAGGTCCATGCAGGGACAGCCTGTTTGACTGTGGAGACCAGACCTGTATAAGCCCTACCTTGAAGTGTAATGGCAGGATTAACTGTAACTTCTCCTATGATGAAATGAAGTGTAAAAAAGGTAATGACCAGGTTCCTTGAACTTTTTTTCATCAACTTTTCCTCACCAATATCTGAGCTAGCTATTCGATATTTACAAGGAGCCTGGCATATGGGTGAGGACTTTAAAGAAAAAATAATTACAGAATTACAGAAATGTGCAAAGAGAGATATAACTGGGAATATCTAGTGAAAAATGTCTCTTTGGCCCTGGTAAAAAGTAGCAGTTCACTCTGTTATCAAAAATATTTTATGTACTGAGTTCAGGCCAGTAAGAGTTGGATGGGAAGCGGGGTGGAATTCAACAAATCCACCACTTTGGCAGGGAAAAGGTCTACTCTGTATCAAAATTTATTCTAGGTTCTAGGTTAAATGAGTGATTAAAGTTTCAGAAAAAATCTCCCATTTGAAATAGCAGGCTACAGGTCCAGAGCTTAATCAAAAGGCTACCGTATTAAGTTTTTCAGCTTATTGAACTTATTTGTCTTTGTTATATATTGTTGGCACTATAAATGAAGCCAAGTTCAACCTAAACTTTTTTAAAATATAATTTCAGAGGAAGACAGCCTTACAACTCCACTAGAAATGAAATACCATGCTGTGATACTGGGAGTGGTTGGAGGTTTACTAGTTATCATAGTGGCAGTATCCATTTGTCTCACAGTAAGACATAGGCGTGAGGAGGCCAGGCTTCGGCAAAAATTACGTGAACGAGTTGTATTAGACCCAGTGGAGATTCAGAAGCTACTGCTGACAAACATGAATGAGGTTATTGTCCCAAATACTCCAACTGGGCTGCTAGATGAGGAGAGTGCACTAAAAGTTTCAAGACGTTTTCACAGTGATGACATTACAGCTGTTAAGCGGAATGGTGTCTTTCATATCTCTCTGGGAAACCCATCCTCACAAACATCCAGTAGAGGGCGAGGTAACCAAGAGGAGCTGGTCCCAGAAAAAGATGACTCTGATTATGAAACTGAAGAAATGGCATGTGGGAATAAATATGAGAGCTCTGAGAGCATCTCAAGAATACTTGATGAAGCAAATGGCAATGGATCTTCAAGAAACGCAACTCCTCGCAAAGTTCCAACTGTTGTGTGTATAGAAACACCACCAAGACAGGCTTCTCTAGATAAAGCTGTCAGTGATCCCATGTTAAGTACAACATCATCTGTTATATCAAATAACACACAGAGAACAAGCCCTAGCCCCCCACCTCCACCTCTTCCTTCAACACAGTTGCCCCAATCACAAAGTGGTAATAACAGTAACCGCCAAAGTCCAGCACGCAGTCCTGGTCGAGGTGGAAGGCGGCGAAGGCGAAGTAAGAAAAGTGACAGAAATAGAGTTGATGCAAAAAATAATCCAGAGGTTATAGCAATGATCACTTTAAATGACCAGGATGTTCAAAAGGATTCACAGCAAGGACCCACTACTTCTACTCCCAAACAGACATCTCTTCCTGACAAAAAGCAAAGCAATAAGTATGACAATCCTAGACTGAAACTCAGTGATAATCACAGAAGGCAAGGTCCACCAAGTCCAAAGCCTGATGTGGTACAGGACGAAAGAGTTTGGGAACGAAGCAGGGGCAATGTAACAATACCAAACACAACAACCGATGCCGATGTAACAGTTCGCGCGCCACCTACATCACAGAGCTTAAAACAATCTCACTCTGGACAGCCAGTGTGACACGCTTTGAGTGAATGGTCTGGTGACCATTGAAAAAAAACCTGGCATCTACACCCATAGTTTCTGTGCTTGTGGGCTATCTGTATTTAATTTGCTGCTGTCACCATTATCTTAGGGCTCATAGACAGCAATGATCTAACACCAGGCTCTAGATCAAGGAGTTCCAAAATGCACAGACCAAGTAATATTGATAAAGCTCACAGTAATGTGATCAAGGCCCTTTGATGAAGGGTCAAAATGTCATTACTTGGCTTATGAGTCTCCTGATTTATATATAATTATATGGTAATTAATCTTTTTTTACCAATAGTGTCTGGAAGAAATTCTCCAACGTTGGCACATGACACTAAGTGTGAAGTGTGAACAGCAAAAAAGGAAAAAGGAATATTGAAAAAGGAAAATACGAAATGTAACTTAATTTTCTTAAGGTCTTTGAAAATATTCCAGAGATAAGTGGTCTTTTGGCTGAATGGGACCCTTTTATTCTTTCATTTTCCTGATCACGTGACCTCCATTTTAGTTAATTCTTAGTTATTTCATGCTGCCAACTTCAAAAGACAACATACATGTATATGGGACATCAGTGCCAGATTTCTAAGAAAATATGATAAGGGTAATATAATATCCTTACATTTAGTAGGTGGACTTCCATTAACTTAGTCTTTTGAAAGGCTCTCAACAACCATTCTTAATGCAATCCATCATTCTCTGAGGAAAGGGTTTCAAAATCAAAAAGATGCCAAGGTGATCCTTGGTGATCTATGGACTTTTTCTGCTTGGGTGTTGTCCAGATAGTTCATTTTACCTAGAAATGACAGTCTTGTCCAAAAGCAATGACAATAGAGGTGATAATTTAGTAATAACATTTGGCAAAACATAAAAGCCACAGAGAGATCAGCATACAATAAAAACAGATTATAGAGTCCCCCAAGAGTCTGGCTTGAAAAGTGATTTTGAGTGTTTCTTGATCAACACCACCAGTCTAGAAAGATACTCTGTCTGGTCAAACTGTAAACAGTAGTTGGAATTAAGCAAAGCAGCAGGTAAAAATTTAAAGGCATATGTATAGCTGATGGTACCCTGAGCATCAGAACCTAAATAGAGAATGTGGTTACCTGATGGTAACATGAGCATGAGACCTGAAAAAGGGCACATCGTTACCTGATGGCACCCTGAACATCAGAACTTGAAGAGAGAATATGGTACCTAATGGTAATAGCCAGGTCTAATGTAAGATCCACAGCTACTGAGAGTGTCTTTACTCACATTTCACAAATCCAATTTCCAGGCATCTTACTTCATGGTACTGAAATAGGTTTACGTTATACCTAATTTGAATGGAAATTTGTATTATTTGATTCTGAGGTGAATGGAAATATACTTTAGTTAAAGTACTTAAGTTAAACTGAATCTTTGTATTCAGAGCCATGTACAACTGAAAGCATTACTTTTTTCTGCTAGTACATTTGCGTCAAGGAATATTGAATCAACAAATTTTTGTCAAGTATTATATATTATTATTAAGTATGAATTCTATATAAATAATATGAAATCAACTGAATTTGTTGGATCCGAATTCCATGTAAATATGTGTTGTTATGCATACATTTCATTGATAAAAAAAACCCAAATGAAAGCATACTGAATAAATACCTAGAGATGTTAAAATCACTTTAATGGATGTATTTATTTAGGATGGAAACATGCAACTTAAACATTTTAAGTCTGAGTCATTTCATTGTGTTGATGAATTGCATTAAGCTCCTTTCTGGTTTGTTTGTGATATTGATGCACACATTAGAATTCCAGAACTTGTTAACCTTTTTGTACTTCCCAAATTAAATTTTATACAATAAAATAAATGGGGGAATCACCAGTGTTACTATTTATTTTTAATCCTTCCTTTTCTCTTAACTTTCATACACTTGTTTATGCACTCTAATAATACATATAATAGTAATTCTTTTTTTTTTAACATACTTAAGCTGGATTTTACAGTTAACTTACTGCTAACCCAGTTGGTGAGTAACAACATCTACTCACCAGTCTGATGAATGCCTCTGAGGAAAATATCCAGCTTGTGTTAAAAAAGTTACTATTATGTGATTCAACCACCAGCCTAATAAACATTTTTACTTATTAAAATTTTAATGCACTTATTAAATAAAATATTTACTTCTTAAGCTTGATATCCTTGATATTCAAAATATAAAAACAAAGAAGGAAAGTTTAATCCCATATATGAGGTATAACGTTTATCTTGTGGAAAGAAAAAAATGAGTAAGACTCCTATTATACTACAAAAAATATAATTAATATATGATATAATATGCATTATCATTAATATAACAGTAAATTAAACACAACTGGGAAGGACTACAGATAGA